AGCTAGGTCTCTGCCCCGCGTACTGCCACTTCAAATCCCCACCTACAAGGTGCAGGCTCGGACTGGACCACCACAATGTAGCCACCTTCCCTGAGCACCTACTGTGCGCCCAGCCCGTGCCCAGCACTCAGAGGAGACACCCCTGACCTCCAGGAGCCCACAGCCTAGCAAGGGAACATAGACATGTAACCAGATTTCTAGGATACCCTGTGGTCAGTGCTAAAATTAGTGGTGTGTCCCCACTGAGCTGAGGACACCTGTGTCAGAATGATTCACCTTGTGTGGTGGGAAGAGGAGGCAGCAAGTGCCTCCGGGTGAGCTCATTTAGAATGGACACATCCTTACTGATGTGGTGGAAAGAGCGCTGGGCTGGGAATAAGGAGACCCAGGGGCTCTGCCCAGCTCTGCTGAGTGACCCTGAAACACATCCTCTCTGGAAGCGAGAGAGTCCCCAAGTGTGGGACAGGAGATAATTTTAAATGGTTCTAGGTCATATTGACTCACAGAATGAGAAAAGTATTCCCTTTTCAATTCCCTCCCAATCCTTCTGATTACATCAAGTAACAAATCACAGTTTGGGTGCCAGTTTGTCTTAACGCCTCTCAGACTGTTGCCAGCCTGCCTTTTAACGAAGAAGGGCGGACCTCAGGTTTACCGCCTTCAGCCGGCACAGGAGCTAGCTGAGATTTCATAGAGTTATTTTGTTTTCCCTTTTACTGTGTTTACATTTACTTTAACTGTTACCCGCCATTGATGATAAGGGACATTGATTAGTCAACCTACGTTGGCAGTAGTAACATAAAGCTTCCTTTTAAAAATAAAATTAAGTTTAAAAAGGGAGTCAGTTTAAAGAAATATATTAAGAAAATAACACTACAATTGATATAACCTCTGTATAGAGCCAGTTAGCAACATATTAAAATTTAAAATGCACATAGAAAAACAGGCAAGGCTATTCTGTATTGTTAGGTGTTATAACAGCGATTACTCTTGGAGATAAGGGGTAATGACTGAAGAGGGCGCTAGAGAGACTGAGCAAGGCTTCTGGTTCTGCTAACCATTGTGTTGGTTCATCTGGAGGCTGATTTTTACAGGTGGGCTCACTTTGTGAAAAGTCATCAAGCTGTGTACACTTATGATATGCACATTTCTGTATGTATGTTATGCATTTGCATATCCTTTAATCCAATGAACTCTTTAAAGCAATCCCACTTCTAGGAATTATCCTATAAACATACATATATGTGCAAAGTGACATGTTCAAAGATATTCGCTGCAGCACTGTTGGCAGTAACAAAAGATAGGAAACAACCTAAGAGCCCTACAGTGAAGTCCATGTGGTTATTAAACAGAATGAGGCAGCCCCCAGCAGATCTCCACAATTTACATGGATTTAAATGTAAGCGAAAAGGGGGCAGAACTATATACAGTGTGCTACCTTATGTGGGGGAAAACATTGTTGTGTACTGTTGAGTCAATTCTGACTCATAGTGAGCCTATAGGACAGAGAAGAACTGCCTCATCTGGTTTCCTAGGCTGTAATCTTTACAGAGCAGACTGCCAGGTCTTTTCTCCTGTGGGGTTGCTGGTGGGTTCAAACCACCGACCTTTTGGTTAGCAGCCGAGTGCTTAACCATTACACCACCAGGGCTCCTTGTGGATAACCTATCTGCACATGTTTGTGCCTAGGATATCCTATGCGTAGGACATCTCAGAAAAGAGACACAAGAAATTGGTAAAAGGGCTCCCCTCTGGACAGGGGAGGGGATGGAAAGGATGACCGATGACCTGACTACCTTTTTGTAGTTTCAGATTTTGCAGCATGTCCATGCATTTCCTATTCAATAATAATTTTTAAAGCAAAAGTATTACAGAAGCACTTCCACCAGGATGGCCAAGGTAAAACAGAAAATACCAAGTGTTGGAGGAGATGTGGAGAAATTAGAGCCCTCATTCACTGTGGAGAAATTGGAACCCTCATCCACTGCTGGTGGGAATGCAAAATGGTACAGTGTTACAGAAAACAGTCTGGCAATTCCTCAAAAACCTAGAGGTAGAGCTGCCATATGACCCAGCAATTCCCCTCCTAGGTATATACCCTAGGGATCTTACAGAAGTGACATGAACAGACATATGCACACTTATGTTCATCGAAGCACTATTCACAATAGCAAAAAGACGAAAACAACCTAAGTGCCCATCAACAGATGAATGGATAAAAAAACTATGGTACATACACACAATGGATTACTACTCAGTGATAAAGAAAAATGAGTTCCCAAAACATCTTGGAACATGGATAAATCTGGAGGACATTATGTTGAGTGAAATAAGTCAATCATAAAAAAAGCAAATATTGTATGTTCTTGCTTTTATGAAATGACATGAACAAGTAAATACACAGAAACTAACGTTCATTAGTGGTTATCAGAGATAGGGGTGTGTGGGGGGGTATATATGTATGTACATAGGCATATATGTGTATATGTATGTATATATAGGTGTACGCATATATATATGTGTATGCATCTATGTGACTGTATGCATATATATTCATATATATAATAAAGCACATAGGGGGCACAGTTACGAAGACTTCTTAGACATAACCAAACACCTTGCAGGATTGGATTTCTGGATTTGAAGGATTAGTACCATAGTCTCGTGAGACATCTCAGTCAATTGGCATAACATAGTTCATAAAGTTAGGATCTACATCCTAGTTTGGTGAGGAGTGTCTGGGGTCTTAAAAGCTTGGGAGGGCCATCTAAGATACAACTATTGGTCGCTACTCATCTGGAGCAAAAGAGAAAGAAGAAAACCAAAGACTCAAAGAAGAAACTAGTCTACGGGACAGTCTGCACAAACCACGGCTTCATCTACCCTGAGACCAGAAGAACTAGATGGTGCCCGGCTACCACTACCAACAGTTCTAATCAGGGCCACAATAAATGGGCCCTGATAGAATGGGAGAAAAATGTGGAACAGAACCTCAAATTCCTTAAAAAAAAAAAAAAAAAAAAGACTTACTGGACTAGTTACAACTGGAGGTCTCCTGAGACTACCGTCCTTAGATATTCTTTTTACCTTGAACTGAAACTAACACCTGAGATCACCTTGTAGCTAACAAATTGGCTCAAAAAAGAATGAATCACCTGTAAGTACTGTGCTCCTTTAAAAAACCACCTATATGAGACCAAACAGTCAACAGTTTAAAACAAGATGAGAATGAAAGGGAGCAGGGAAACTAGATTAATGGAAACAGAACAACCAGAATGGAAATAATGAGAATGTCAAGCACTGTGAAGAATATAACCAATGTCACCAAACAAGTTGTGTAGAAATCATTGAATGGGAACCTAAGCTGTTGGGTAAACCTTCATCAAAAACACAATAAAATTATTATTATTTTAAAAAAAAGTATTATAGAAGGTGCATGGCTATGGTAAAAAGTTATGGCCCCTTCCGGACATAAAGGCTGGAAGCAAAAAAAGAGTAGCACTTTGGGCTCATAAAGCAAGTAGCTCTTGGCCTCATTCCTCCTCCCCAGAGATAATGGGCTTTCCTGTAAGTGGTTTCCAATTAATAGCAAAAGCAGTTCAGGACAAATTACTTACACTGTGCCTCCGCGCCACAGGCAAACACTGGCACCTGGATCTGCCCTGGCAGAGTTAGCAGGTGCCTGAGCTCTCGGCATGGGTAGAGAGATTTTTAAGCAAAAATTCTTCCAGGATGGGAAGTCAAGGATTTGGTAAAGCAAACCAACTGGCTGGAGAAGAAGAAGTCCAAGTTCTGAATCCCGCCTAGATCCCAAGAGAAGAAAAGCAAGAACCAAAAGGTGGGCTTCTCTGGGGGCTGAAGCGGACAGTGATAGAACAACGCCTTGAAAATTCCAGTTTTATTTTAACTGAATAATTTTCTTTTGTATGATACTTGGTGGCTCCGTTGTTAAGAGCTCGGCTGCTAACCAAAAGGTCAGCAGTTTGAATCCACCAGCAGCTCCTTGGAAACCCTATGGGGCAGTTCTACTCTCTCCTGTAGGGTCCCTATGAGTCAGAATCGATGAGTCAGAATTGATGGCAATGGGTTTTTTTTTTTTTTTTTTTGCTTGTTCACATGTCACTATCTCCCCATATACTGATCCTAAAACAATCCAGTGAGGTAGGTGTGGCACTGTATAAGTCATCCATTTTACAGATGAGAATACAGAGGTTCACAAGGTTAAGAGACTGGACGGTGATCACAGAGCGAGGGAGAGGGTGAAGCCAGAAACGTAACCTCCACCGTCTGACTCCTGGTCTCCTTCACCTTCCCACCTCCCCACTCATCATATGACCCGGCAATATATACCCTAGGGATCTTACAGAAGTGACATGGACAGACATATGCACACTTATGTTCATCGAAGCACTATTAACAATAGCAAAAAGACGAAAACAACCTAGGTGCCCATCAACAGATGAATGAATAAACAAACTATGGTACATTCACACAATGGAATACTACTCAGCGATAAAGAAAAATGAGTTCCCAAAACATCTTGGAACATGGATGAATCTGGAGGACATTATGTTGAGCGAAATAAGTCAATCACAAAAAAGCCCGACCACTTTCTCTACGCAGGCGGATGCAAGAGGCACACTCAGAGATACCAGTCAGGCTTGATGGACGCGGCCAACGCGAGAACTGCGGCCTGCCCCGCCAGCAGTGGGCGCGGAGAGCCACACCTCTAGTCAGGTGCACACAGGTGAGCCACCTGCTGCTCTGTCGCGAACGGGCTCTCCTGCTCCCCACCGGGCGACTGAAAGTCAGGCTGGGCTCAGGCAGCTTGAGTTTCCCGGTTCCGAAAGAAGAGTGGGACGAAGCGCCAGGCGCGCACTTCCCAAGCCCACCCTGAGGGGCCAAGTTCTGACCCAACCCCGGGCCCGGGCAGGGCGTGGAGGTTGTCAAGGGAGTGTGCCCCACCCCCACAGTCCCGGGACTCTGCTGGGGTCACTCACCCAGAACACTGTGGAGTAGATGATGAGCGAGAACTTGAGCCAGAGGTAGGACAAGCGCGCGCAGTAGCGCACTTTCTCCGAGTCCCCGCTGGGCATCCTGGGCGCTCCCGGCGCAGGGCTCCGGGACTCCCCGGGTCCGGGCTCTGTCCCTCCGCCTCGCGCGAGTCCCCACCTGCGTCTGCCCGGCCTCCGGCCCCGGGACGAGCGCTTTCTGCCTGACTGACACCCAGGCGCCGCAATCACTGTCCCCGCCGGGGAGGCTGCCAGCCCCGGCGGCCAATGGGAGTGAGGCGGCGGCCCAGCCCGTGGGAGGGGGCGGGCCGAGGGCGGGGCTGCTCCAAGGGACCCAGGAGGAGGCTAATCGAGCCGAGGGAGAGAGGACTTTGCAAAAAAGCTTGGGTGCCACTCTGGAAACGCCAGTACTAATGACGTGGAGGGGGGCGCTAGGGAGAGAGCGAGCGTGCCTATTCGGGACATACAGAAGGCGCTGCTTAAATGCGGGCTTTGATTGTTTTCAAGAGGGAAGGATGTGGGGAAAAAGGCAGGAATTAACGGCCAGAGTGTTCAAAGTGTGCAAGGAGTGTTCAAGGCGTGGATGAAATAAGGACATGGAGTTGCTCAGCCTGAGGGGGGCGGAATAGCAGCCACAATGTGAGCATTTAGGAAGTTGCAGCAAACCAGGTGGGGGTAAAGGTCCCCACCGAGCTAGGGCCCGGATTTTTCTCTTGTAACAGATCCCTGGCTTCAGGCTTTCGCCCAAAAGATCTTGTAAAATCCTCTTTGGGGCCCGGTGATATCGAGCCCTGCCCCTACGGGCCTCCTCCTCTAGGAAGCCTTCCCCCACGCCCATCCCTAGGCCAGGTCAGCGGCTCCCTGGTCCTTGCACACCTTAAGCCAGGTCTGACCAGGCCTCTTCTCGGCCTGTCCTTTTCGATGACTGGGGTCAGAGGGGGCCGCTATTTCCCCGCCTCCCCAACCTAGCTCAGCCTGGGGTTTGGGAGCCAGACAGTCCGTGCTTGCGGCATTTGGTAATTAAGTGTGTGGCTTGGAAGTCAGGAGCTCTAGCCAGTGCTGGGTGGGGTCCCTAGTGGTGACTCCAGGAATGGCAATCATGTCCAAGTTCTGCCCCGGGGCTCACAAGCTCCCGTTTACACACTCAAAGACAGAGAGACAGAGACTGAGCCTAGGCAGCCCCAGCCTCTTACACTAGGCCCCAGGAGGAAGGGAGTAAGGTTTGGGGTGAGGAGGGAGGCCATCCCCTGACTGGAAGCCAGCCAGTTTCCCGGTACAAAAGGATGCTCATTGCACGGGTGTCTGTCGCTGGGAGAGAAATAGAAGCAAGGACTTCTGCAAACCAAACTAAAACCTACTGCCATCCAGTCAATTCTGACTCATAGCGACCCTATAGGACAGAGTAGAACGCCCCGCAGGGTTTCCAAGGAGCGGCTGGTGGATTTGAACTGCCCACCTTTTAGTTAGCAGCGGAACACTTAACCACTGCGCCACAAGGACTGCTGCAAGTTACCTTCAAATGAATAACTGAGAGCTAAGAAAACATCTTACCACGGTGTTAAAGTTGTCCTTTCTGTCTTTGAGGAGGACTGCCTTTCTTACCCCTCCTCACCTAGCCCTGCAGAGCTGGCCTCACACAGCCCATTCTTTGAGGGGCTAGTCTCTGTTCCCACCCCGGGGGAAGCTAGCAGCTCCCTCCATCCTCTGGGAGAATAGCTTAGCACCTTGCTCTCTGAGGGGCTAGCCTTTTACCTTATCCCTAGGGGTTAGCCTCCTTCTCCTCACTGGGTGGAGCTAGCCTCCTTCCCAACTCCTTGTGTTTAAACTATAGCCCAAGCTACCCACAGCCCCTCCCCTACTCAGGTTTTCTTTCCGGTTGCCCCTGGCCTTAGTTCTGGCCTCCCTAGCTAGCTGCACTTTCTCTCATCTTTCAAATAGTAACACACACACTTCTGAACAGCTCCTCCCATGCCTCCCTGAGACCCACAGTCTTCCCTCCTCTATAAGATGCCTGAGGGATGAAGGAGAGACACTCCTGCCAAGGGAGTCCACAGCCCTTTGGGGCTACAACAGCCTTGCCGAGCTCCTGGGCAACTTCATTGCCCCTCCCCAATCCCATCCCTTCCCCAAGGGATCAGCCCCCACCTAAGGAGCTAGGGGCCTCTCCTCAGCTACATTTGGAAACATTGAGACCTCTGAAGTGGCAATTTGTTTTCAACTTTCTCTCCTTTTGCTGGGAGCTCTGGGCTGGTGGCGCAGTGGTTAAGAGCTCAGCTGCTAACCAAAAGGTCGGCAATTCGAATCCATCAGCTGCTCTTTGGAAACCAATGGGGCAGTTCTACTCTGTCCTGTAGGGTTGCTATGAGTTGGAATCGATTTGACAGCAAAGCGTTTTTTTGGTTCTGGACTGGGGAGTGGGGAGGGTGGGGGGTCGGGGGAGTGGTCAGCAGGTCTGGTGCTAATCCTGGTTTTGCCATTAACCTTTTGTGGGACTATTCAAATGTCTGGCAAAGATAGTGTGACATACAGGTGTGCGTGTGACCCTGGCTGCAGAATAGAATCACCTGATGAGCTTCTAAGTTACCCTAATATCCAAACCCCACCCCAGTCCAGTTAACAGGTTCTAACAGGCACCTGGGAGTTAGTATTATTTGAAAGCTCCCCAGGAAATGTCTAAAGTGCAGCCAGGATTGAGAATTGCTGACCTACAGACAGTGATAAGGACAAGGTGATCAGCCACACCCCAGAGGTCACTTGGCTCATAAATATTTAATAACTAGATCTGATTCTGATGGGGTGACCGATTTCTTTTATATAAATACTTGTATCATGTCGGATTTCGAGTTACCAACTTGAAGACCCTGAACATGGAGTTAAGAAGAGACGCACACAATAGATTCTGGAGAGGCAGTGCAAGCTGTGTCCAGCACACACCACTGAAGCTCTCCTTCTCAATCCAGCCCAGATGCTATACTAATGAGCATAGTGATGCCATAATGAATTCACCCCTTCATTAGCATGGCTGGTATTAGAAATGAGCTTGGTGAAGTTAATAGTATTCAAGAAATGTAGATTGGTTGAAGTAGGTTAGCTACACCACCCATCCCTCATTCAGAGTAAAGGAATCCAGCGAGGCCTGAGCCGGCACTCTTAGGGAGCACCTACTGGGCTAAATCCTTGGGGGGGGGTCTTTTGTCCCGAGGTATTTGGATTGCCTGCTGGGACCATCGGTCTAACTGAATCTGCCTCTAGAATGTTGAATCTGCCTTAAGCGGACCCTTCTTGCAAGGTGGCGGTCAGAACACATAAAAGGACAGAAAGCTGGGCCTTACAGAACAGGTTGTATGAACTGGTTTTGTGGCTGCTTGCTAATAAATGTTTGTTTTGTGGATATTTGTACGGGCAGCAGAATTTGGTCTGAGATCTGCTTTCATGATAATCTGTCAGGGAGATTGTAGGGGAGATAACTCTCATGTTTAGTGGCTACTACTGCTTATGGAAAAACAGCCTACCTTGGCTTGCATTAGAGTGCCACGGGGCAAGTGACTCTAATTGCACCTCTATTTTCCCATCTGTGAAACAAGGAGGTTGAAATGTTTCTCTAAAATCCCTTCCAGCTCTAACAAGTTTGGCTATACTCCTCACAGTCAATAAATCAGTCAACAAATATATACTGAGTTCCTACTATAAGTCATGTCCTACTGCAGCCTCTGGGATACAGCTGTAAACAAGAAAGACAAGAGCTTCTACTCTACTCTATTCCATTCCATTCTATCTAGTCTAGTCTACTCTATCCTGTCCTATTGGAAATAGAGAAGGAGGGAACGGAAAACACACACGAAAACAAATACATGAAGAGGGTAATTTCAGGTATTGATAAACACTAAACATCTGAGAGGAGGGCTTCCAAGTGGAAGAAACAGCAAGTGCAAAGGCCTTGAGAAGGAAAGAGCTTGGAGAGTTTCAGCAACAGAAAGGTGTCTGTGGCTCCCATAAGGGACGGCAGGGGGAGAGGTCAGAGCTCCTGTAGGAGCTTTGAGGAGAAGCCTTGTAGCTTTGGTAGATGGTTCAGATTTCTTTCTGGTGTCAGTGGGAGCCACAGGTAGATTTTAAGCAGGGAAGTGATAGGGAATCTGACTTATGCTTTAGAAAGCCAAAGCCCCCTCTGGTCACTGCATGGAGGAAGAACAGGAGTGGGCTGAGACTGGGGGGAAGGAAAGCTGACTAAGAGGCCATTGTGGTAATGCAAGATGACGCTGGCTTGGATTAAGGACACAGCATTGGGAATGGTGACATGCGATTGGATTTGGGATATACATTGAACCTACAGCCAACAGGGCTTATGGATGGATTGGATGTGAGTGTGAGGAAAGGAGAGAAACCAAGGAAGATTCCAAGTTTTTTGCCTTGAACAACTGGGTGGATACTGCTGTCATTTACAAAGGAAAGGAAGGTAAGAAAGAATGGTGGAAGAGGTTGGGTAGGAAATCAATTACTTTGGTCATTTTAGTTTTTGAAAGCCCTTTTGCAAATCCAGATGGAGTTGTCTAGGGAGCTCTGAGGCAAGGTCTCAGTTGGATGGTATAAATTTGAAAGTCATCAGATCCATTTAGACCATGGGCCTATGTGAGTTCACCTATGGAGAGACGGTAGCAAAAGAGGCAAAGGTTGACCCTGGAGCCCTCCAACGGAGGAAGAGAGGGTGGCAAAGAAAACAGAGAGGGTGCTGGCAGTGAAATAAGAGGAAAATGAGGCCAATGTGGTGACAAGGTTGCTGAGAGAGAAACCAACCAGTTGCTGCGGAGTTGATTCTGGCTCACGTGTGACGAGTAGAACCGCGATCCACAGGATTTTCAGAAATTTTTCGGAAGTAGATTTCCAGGTCTTTCTTCTGAGCGTCCTCTGGGTGGATTTGAACCTCCAACCTTTTGGTTAGCAGCTCAGTGTGGACCACCCAGGGACTCCTAGTGTCATGGGAACTTGCCTTAATACACTGAGGCTTCAACTTGTCTAAGGGGTCATATAGGGGCAGAAAAGAGAATTGACCATTGGCTTTGTAAGATGTAGGTCATTAGTGGCCTTGATAAGAGTT